TGGATAATCTCTCTCCCCTGCCCCCCCTCCCATCAGTCTCAATTCTTATCTTCTCCTACCCTGTTCTCTTTCTGTTGAATTACTGTATTTCCCATTAGGACCAATGCTAATAACATTGAAGTAGGAGACAAATGATTGTTCTGTGTGGTTTTGTCCAGTTCCATAATCTCTTTAATCCTATTTCCTATCTATCATATGAGAACAACAGTGATGACTCTCCCTACTCCTAAACATTAATCTGCCTCAGAGGAAAAAGTAAAATTTGTCCTCCATTACTTGTGATTTCCATTAAATTAGTAGAATAGATCAATTAAACTTGTTTAAGAAATAATAAATATTCTCAATTTAATAATTAAAACAAGATAAAATTATCCTTCTAATACAGATAAGCTATGGCAAATTACAATTTGTTACCTTTGAGTTTTGTCCCCAAGATCATTTTCGTGGGTGTGATATTTTCGGATTTGGGACTCCTCTTCTTCTCCCTCTTCCTCCTCCCCTCTTCATTTTCCCTCCTCTTTCCTCTTCTTTTGTCATGCTGTGTAGCCCAGGCTGGCCTCTAGCTTGCTATTTTCCTGCCTCAGCCTTCCAAGTGCTGGAATTATAGGAATGAGCTATCATACCTGGTTTAATTTCTTCTTTAGGAAGTTTTGGAATGGTTTTCCCTTTAATGTCTATGGATCCCAATCTTAATGTCAAGTTTTTGTTTTGCAAATGGAACAAGAAAGTATCACAATTATCAAACTCTTCTAAAAGTAGAAATTGACTCCACTGATATTATAAAGATAGTTGATATTTGTGAAGGAAATTACTTTGGGAGGATTTCCCAGGCAGGGGGCTGAACCCAAGAACATGTCTGAATTTTTCTATCAATTATAATCATTCTGAAGGTCCTAGCAGAGCTATCTTGGTAACAACAGCTGAAAAAAGTTCAGGGTTGGACAATGGACACATAACAATATGCCTTAGGATTGCTCGTTAAGATTGCCTTCTAAAACAAGATGCTTTCTTTGTTTCTTATGAGGCTAAGAGAAAACCTCCACTTTAACATAAACTTGATTATAAGATTCCTTTTCTTTTTTTTAATTTTTATTTTATTCATATGTGCATACAATGTTTGGGTCATTTCTCCCCCCCTTCCCCCACCCCCTCCCTTACCCCCCCTCCCCTCCCCCTTGCTACCCGGCAGAAACTATTTTGCCCTTATCTCTAATTTTGTTGAAGAGAGAGTATAAGCAGTAATAGGAGGGACCAAGGGTTTTTACTAGTTGAGATAAGGATAGCTATACAGGGAGTTGACTTGCATTGATTTCCTGTGCATGTGTGTTACCTTCTAGGTTAATTCTTCTCGATCTAACCTTTTCTCTAGTTCCTGGTCCCCTTCTCCTATTGGCCTCAGTTGCTTTAAAGTATCTGCTTTAGTTTCTCTGCATTGAGGACAACAAATGCTAGCTAGTTTATTAGGTGTCTTACCTATCCTCATACCTCCCTTGTGTGCTCTCACTTTGTCATGTGATCAAAGATTCCTTTTCATTATGAAACATTTCTAACATTGGAACAGTATGTAAAATATTTTGAACAACTCTATCTTCAACGTCTATTGTCAAATTGGCTTTATACATGCACAAACATGCTTTATTTTACTATTAGTATTATTATTGTTATTGAAGAGATGGGGTCTCATTATGCCCAGGCTGACCTTAAAATCCTGGGCTCAAGAGATCCTCTTGCCTCAGCCTCCTGAGTCACTGGGATGACAGGTGCATGCCACTGTGCCCTGCATACACACACATTTTAAATTAGTAAAACAGGTATATTTTAAATTTGGCATGTAATCTTTCTTGAATTAATCCCTTCTCCATGCTGATTTATTTCCCTGAATATAAACACTATCTTGAATTTAGTCTTATTTCTATGTATTTCTTTCATCTATTTATTTTTATTATTGTAGTACTGGGAGTACATTGTGACATTTACAAAAGTTCTTGCAATGTGTTAAATATATCATAGTGAATTCACCTCCTCTACCATTCTCCTTTATCCCCCCTGCTTATGCTTTTGCTATATATGTCCATAATCCATAGTATTATTTTGCATATTTTAAAACTTTAAATTCTCTCATATGTACCACTTGCCTTATTCACCTTGGTTTTGAGATCATTTCATGTTCGTGCATATAGAACATTCATTTAAACTCCTTCTGTATTACTTTCCATTATGTGAATATGCCATTATTTATTCATCAGTGTCTTTTCCCCTGCCAAAGTAGTTTGAGGAAGGGACAAATTTAATGTCATTTCTTTATAATTTGTGGGCCAAGCAGAACACCAAGTTGGTCAGGAACCCATATTTTCATTCCTGACTTTCTTCATGTGCCTTTATATTTTGGCCTGGCTCCCTGGGAAGATTGTAATAAGATGACAAATTAACAAAAATTTCTCCCCAGACACAATTAAAACTCACTGTTTTAGGAAGGAGCTAGACATTGGCCAATGAACAGGTGACCTGTTAAGTCTATAACTACCAACTTGTATATATACATTCATATCTATAATCCAATGCCTGTGTGTTTCATATACATTCATGACTATATTAAATTTACTTTTAAGATTATGATTTAAAGTTATCAAAAAGTTACAGATAATAAAAATTTAACTACTCAACTACTCACTTATTCAATTGTGTTTATTTGCCCCAGTTATATATCTATCTTATTTTTTAAAATTTATTTTTTGCCCAAGTAATATATTTTAAAACCAGTGCATTAGAAATCATTAAAAGCTAACTATTGTTTTTACTGTCGTGCAGATATAATTTACAATATCTAGTTTAAGTATTGCTAGTTTTGTAGATGGTGTGTGATAGGACTGAAACTGCCATTCTCCTTCCAAAAAGAAAAAAGAAAAAACAACAACAACAACAACAAAAAAGAAAACAGAGCTGGGATGTAATAGAGCACCTGTCTACCATGTGCAAGGGCCTGAGTTTGATTCCCAGAACAGCAAAAGAAAAGAAACTCAATAATCACTTATGTCCATTTCCCTGTCTTAGTAGACAGCATTGTGTGAGCTATCAACTTCCTGTATTTCCATGAAATCTATAATCTATGATTTGCTGATGTAACTTCATTAATTTTTAGTAACCAGAGGCTTTTCATATGTTAATAGATAAATTCTGTTAATAATTAAATTATTCAGGTGACTCCATTGTGCTAGGGTAGAAAATAGTTGTCTGAATTACTTTTACTTTATGAACAGATGCTGATTACAGTAAATTGGATTTTAACATTTGATTTAATCATCATCTATAAGCCAAATAAGGTTTTCAGCTGACTAAATTGAACATTATTAGAAGAATCTTACATGACAAATAAATAAAGTGCACATTTTAGAAAAGATAAGAACTCGTGAGCCAAGAAATTTCAAACCTAAGATAAAATGTTCTGTAAAGGTTAAAGTAGATTTTTCAATTATAAAGTAAGTGGAACACATTGTAAATGATTACAGCTTCTCTTGTTTTTTTGCTGTGATCCAGAAATGACCATATTGATTTTTGAGCTTTATATGTTTAAAGAAAATCACTGAGATTAAATTTCATGGTTTTGTAAATCCTGGGCTAACCAGTACTGGCTGAGAGATGTCGTGGGGCTGTAGCTTCTCTGCTAGTTGCTCCTTCCTATGCTCAAGTCTATTTTTAGAGTCATCTATCATCTTCACTTAGAATAATGATGTTGTGGTTTGTTTTATTCAGATCAAGTTTTCAGAATCGGACTACTTTGGCAACGTCTTGCAAACCCGCAAGTATTTAGCACAATCTGATTTCTTCTGGCTAAGAAAAGCTGTTCCAAAAACAGAGTGAGTATTTTTTTAAAGTGAAATCAATGAATACATTGGTTGGGGAGGGAGTGGGAATCATTTTAGATTAAACTTTGTAATTCCTTCAAGTCAGAGTAGCTGGCTTACCATTTTTTGTTTGTTTGTTTGTTCTAGCGAAATCTCTCTCATGGTTTACCAATTCTTGTTTCTGATATTGTGTGATTCGGATCTTCGATATAATTAAGGGTTCCTCTCACCTAGCATTGACACATATTGGAAGAAGGCTTATTAAGATGCAAACATTGATGCTATTTCTATATCTAGTTATAAATATGTATGTAGAAAAGTTTGTCTAGATCTTCACACTTGAGGGGATTCTTTTGAAGATCTTAGAAAAGAATCAATAGTTTAGATATAAGTAAGATTAGACATGTAGAAGAAATTGTATAATTTGGAAGCAACTAGAAGATATTTGTTGAGCTCTCAGTGTCAAAGAACTGATAGCTGTATGTTTTCATCCATTAGCAGTTATGATTTATTTGTCAGGTTCCCATTTACCTGTAGGAACTGTGGTAGGAGAGTTTCCTTAAAAACTTTTGGGCCCAGATCCTGCCAGCCATGATTTCTTCCCCCTAGCTAAATGTTATTGTTGAAGGTGACGATGTTTTCAGAGTGCTAGTAAGTGCTTTACAGTTTTTAGTTCATTTTATCCTCATGTCAGCTCTGGGAGTATAGGTACTATCATCACCATCATCTGTATGAATAAAAGGCTTATGGTTGAGAATTTGTTCAGCTCAGGTTTAGATTACTTTTGTTTTGCCTGGTGCTTTTGGCTTCTGAGACCTGACTCTCTTCTGTTATGGCTCCTTTCTATGGTGCTTTCTTCCTCTCTGTTCTCCAGATTGATAATTTCTATTGATGTTTTCAACTCCAGAACTTCCATTTGTTTGTTTTTTTTTATAGTTTCTGCTTCTCTGTTGTGATTATTTGTTGAGTCATCATCATCATATTTCCCATTAATTCTTTGAATATAGTTTAATTATTTGCACTAATTTATAATGGCCACTTTCAAATTTTTACCAAGTCCAATATCTGAGCTCACTCAGAGTCAGTTCCTATTGATTGGTTCTGTTACACTTTTTCTTTGAATAACAGATTTTTATTGTTGAAAGTAACATTTATTTTTAAAAATTTTTTTATTGTGCTGGGTGGGGGTACATAGTGGCATTTACAAAAGTTCTTATAATACATCCAATATATCATAGTTGAATTCACCCCCTCCCCCATTTTCCTTTATCTCCCACCCACCCATTCCTGGAATAGTTTCAACAGGTCTCATTTTTCCATTTACATACATGTGTGCACAGTATTTGCACTACAGTTACCCTCCCACACCCGTTTCCCACCTCCAACCCTCTCCCACTGTACCAACCCCCCACCCCAGATAGGGCCTATTCCACCCTCCTGTTCTCTGATTTCATAAGTGAAAAAAATGACATTTTTGTTTAAGATAGCTACACAATAGGGAGTTTCCTTGTGACATTTCCATGTATATATGTATTATAGCCCAACTTGGTTCATCTCCTCTATTTTTTTTTCTTTCTACCTTAGTCCCCTTCTTACGGTGATTTCAACAGGCTTAAAAATTCTATATTCATTATTGTATAGGAAGTGCATCAACCATATTCACCTTCTTAACTTCCTTATGTTACCCTCCCTCTCATATGTGACCTCCCCTTGGTGTGACCTGTTTTTTATAATACTGCTGTATTTGTATTAGGTCTATATTCCACATATGAGGGAGAACTTGTGGCTTTTGGCCTTCTGAACCTGGCTAACTTCACTTAAGATGATGTTCTCCAGTTCCATCCATTTACCTGCAAATGACAAAATTTCATTCTTCTTTGTGGCTGAATAAGATGCCATTATATACAAATACCATGTTTTCTTAATCCATTCATCAGTAGTAGGGCATCTTGGCTTTTTCCATAGCTTGGCTATCATGAATAGTGCTGCAATGAGCATGGGTGTGCAGGTCCCTTTGTAGTAATCTGACTTACATCCCTTCAGGTATATCCCTAGGAATGGTATTACTGGATCATATGGCAGATATAATTTTAGTTTTTAAAGGAGCCTCCATACTGGTTTTCATAGTAGTTGTACTAACTTGGATTCCCACCAGCAGTGCATGAAGGTTCCTTTTCCCCCACATCCTCGCCAACATTTGTTGTTGTTTGTGTTCTCGATGGCAGCTATTCTAACAAAAGTGAGATGGGACCTTAGTGTGTTTTTGATTTGCATTTCCTTTATGGCCAGGGTTGTTGATCATGTCTTCATGTGTTTTTTGACCGTTATTCTTCCTTTGAAAAGGCTCTGTTCAGTTCATTTGCCCATTTCTTCATTGGGTCATTGATTTTTTTTTTGAGAGTTTAGTTTTTTGAGCTCCCTGTATATTTTGGTTATTAACATTTTAGATAACATTTTGTAGCAACTCTGGATTCTGCTTTATTTTTGAAGCTTTTTAAAAAGTGACTTTCTGCAAAATGTGTCTCCTCTTCAGTGTGTACAATGAATTTCTCTGCTCAGGTTTTTTAGTTCTTGTTAGTATCTTTTAGGCTTACTTCCTGGTGATTACCTCCTGGGTATGCACCACCCAGTGCTCAGTCAGAGATTAGGGCAGAGATTATGCTCGAACCCTTAAACCCATAGAGCTTCTCCTCTCTACCAGTTCTGTACATGGGATGAGAGTGCTTTCAATGTCAGACAGCTCTCCAGCTGCTTTGAATTTTATCTTCTACTGGGCTCTCTTTGGTCTTCCCTGTACATAGACCTACTTTCTTACTCAAGCAGAGATGTGTGGTGTGCTCATTTAGCCCTTCTGTGGCCTTTTCAGTTTTAGGATTACCCTTTAAAAATTTTGGCTGTGTTTTCCTCATTTGTTTTCTACCAATGTGGCCCTTTTTAGTTGACAAAGCTCTATATTTGCCCACACCTCCAAGCAAGTATACCTCCTTTGACAGTAAAGCTGCTGATTTTCCAGTCAGCCTTGTTCTGATAAAGTTCCCACTGTAACTTGGAGGGACAGGAGCAATTGTGGGCCAGAAGACCACAGAATTCTGCTCTACTTATGTCCAAGCTTAGTAGTTTGTCCAGATGAGATTTGTTTTTAATTCTATCAATTCTTAGAGCCCTAAAATGGTTGTTTGCTGATTTTGCCATTTTATTTTTGTGAAAAGGAATTGTCATCCTTGTCAGACCATCATACCTAAGCCTAGCTTCAATTGGTCTGCTTTTTAATTTTGGCTAATATTCTTTGGCTCTTTTTATCCTCTCTTGCTCTCTTGTTACTGTCCCTTTCAACTCCTTACTCTACCCTGGATTCTAGAAACTCTAGGCCCCTGTAGCCTCTCTTGACTTCAGTTACCATCTTTCCTTCTTATGCTCCCATCTGGCCATCCTTACCTTCTGCCTTTCAAACTTTCCTGTAACACACACCTACAAAGTTTCTTGGAAGTTATTACTTTAAAGAATAGGCCTAATGCTGAGGCAGGCCTTTACCTATCCCCAACTCCAATCAAAAGCACAAAGGAGGAAAGCAGATGGTTTAGAACTCCTTTGTGATGATTGATGACAGTCTAAAACCATCTGTTCAGCTGTCCTTGTGTCTCTGCTCTCTTCATTTTATTTCTCAGTCTGTCTATCCCGTTACATTCCCATTCTAAATTATTCTGTAGAATTTTTACATTTTGGGCTCTAAAATCTAATGATTCAAATCTGATGACTTCAGCAAATGATTTTCAGTATCCCTATGACCATGTACATATAAGTAGGATAGTCACTATCCTATGTAAATCATCCTGTCCTTTAAGATCTAATTTAGAAAAGTTCAAACTTTTTTGGAAGCTCGTGGAAAAGCCAAGACTTTTACCAGTGCTTCATGAATTTTTGTGGCCTTCTCGGGAGCTCCTTCATATTGGAGATGCTGCCAGTTTAATCCATCAATTTCAAAGCGTTGTTTTTCATTTAGGTGTGTAACAGGGCCTGGGTAGCTAATTGAAAAACTCCTAAATGTGTCATCTTGAACATTATCCTAAGATACAGATGGGCTGTCAGATTCTAATGGTTTTGACTATAGCTAATATTTTATTCATTCCTTGGGAAAATGCTGTGTGACTTTGTGGGCTTAGGCAAATTGTTTGATTTGTGTAATTTTTTTCTCTGTCAATGGAAAACAAATACAATTATTCCTCAGTGTCCACTGGGAATTGGTTCTAGGACATTCTGCAGATACCAAAATCCAAAGATGTTCAAGTCTCTTATGGTTTAGTATTTGCATAATAACCTATGCACATCTTCCTGTATAACTTAAAAATCATCTCCAGATTACTTATAATGTACAATACAATGCAAATGCTATGTAAATAGTTGGTATACTATATTGTTTAGGGAATAATGATAAGAAATATGTGCATGTTGATTATAAATGCACTGCAGACACAGAACCTGTGAATATGGATTGCTGACTGTACCTCTTTTTACAAAGGTGTTAAATTGGTTAATGTTTGTGAAAAGTTCTCCAAGAATAAAAATCAATGTAGTACTTTAATTTTTTCTTCCTCAGAAAAAACAACATTAAGATCTTGTTCCCATGATAAAGTGATATGACAGTCAATTTCTTTTTCCTTCTTTTTTTCTTTCCTTTCTTTCGTTCTTTTTAAGGAAATATCTGACTGGTCCTTTTCAGGCATTGTAGGAAATTTTAGCTTTGTGACACTCATGGGCTCTAATTGACATCTTTTTAGGGGTGAAAATTCATGAGTTCGTCAAGTGGAGATGATTCTGGAGTAGCTCCTCTTTACTAGTTTCCTTTGAACAGCACATCACGATTATATTTCCAAAAAGCTCTGAAACACATTTTGCTTCTTTGTGGGGCTAGGAGATAAATACCTTTATCGTTCATTCTCATGGAATCCATTTTAGCTGCACTAATGTGCATTAAGCTGTTTCTAAGGTGATGGGAAATGTCAGCAGGAATGAAATTAATTGGGTGGTCATCCCTGAAGATACATATTTAGGGGCTGGCTCTCAGAATTGTCACTTCATCAGTTTGCTTAAAAATAGATGATTTACTTTACTGCTTGGGTTGAGTCAAAAGTAATTTCTTTCCTTCAGGATCTTCTTCGTTGACAAAAATTACTTTAAGCCAGCTTCTCTATTAACTCACTCTCATTCTACTGTGACCAAACATGTCTGGTTTCTCTTTCTCTATCTTTTGAAAAATATGTAAAAAATATATCAAATGTCTATACAAATTATGGTCCTACCCAGAATTTTTCTTTGGAAAAGTGTTACCCATAGCTTAGAGTGCAAGTGATATAATCTGTAGGATATTAGAAAGAAAGCAATAGATACTTGATGGCTTCACCATTCCACATTCCCTAGACTACCTTTAAGAGTTGATAAGTGGGAGTGGGGGGTGGGGGCAGAAGTGACCCAACACTGTATGCACATATGAATAAATGAGAAAAAAAAAGAGTTGATAAGTAAAATGTAGAACTTTAGCCTGATGTATATCTATTTAATATAGTCCAAAGAAATCAGAATATCAGTGTGTTTTCTTCAGATGCATTTTGGCATTACTCTCTTTTTATCTGTCCCATTGTCCGGTATAATTTCATCCTCATATATTTTGAGATTTGACATGTATATGAGACTTCTTCCTATCTTATCCATTAAATCCTTCTCCAAACACAGACTGCAGGAACACATCCAAAGACATGGTAAGTAGAATTTTCAACACCTGAATGATACTATTTATTATAGCCTTAGTGATCTTTTGCTCAGAACATACAATTTGGGCATCCCCATATTTTCATAGTTAAAATAACAATAATTATTTTTATCTGTTGTGATTCTGGGGGTCACTAGACTCAGTTGTGTGGGTTCTTGCTCATGGTCATTCATATCATGGCTGGGCTGGACATCTGGAAGTCTCCTTTTCTTTCGGGTCTACTGGTTGATGTTGGCTGTTGGCCGAAACACCTAATATGGCCTCTTCATGTATGTTGGGCTTCTTAACAGCATGTTGGTTGATGAAGAAACTTCAAACAGCAATTTTCCTGAGAATGAGGAAGGGATAAAGGAAGGAAGTATGTGCTCAAAAGCACCAGGGAGAGGATGCATCACCCTTAATTGCCTAGCCTTGGAGGTCACACTGTGTCATTGACACTGCATTTTATTCTGTAGAAGTAAGTTACCAAGGCTACTCTTCCATAATCAAGAGAGGAATTTAGACTCCATCTCTTAATGGGAGGGATATAAAAATTTTTTGCAATCACATTGAAACTATCACAGGTAGGCTTACATCAGAGAACAGTAAAGCTAAATAACATAATAAAGTTGGATATAACAAAGGAGCTGTACAAAATGCTTAACAGCTGGACTGGCATGAGCCCTGAACAAACAAAAGAAATAATAGCATCAACAGCTGGCAGGATCTGTTGGTGCACCTGCTTAATATCAGATATGGGGGTAATCAAGCCTGCGAATAGGCCCTAGAGTAAGTAAGTAGGAACTATGGGGTGCATGTGTGCTAGGGTCAGGAATGAAAATGGGCAGGTGACCTGTCTGAGGTGCAATGTTTTGGTCACCGATTATTGGATTTCTTTGTGTTGCCTACCTTTGTCTGTCAGCAGTTGGGAACATGTCTGCTCAATGGCTCTTACTCTAATGTTTTGTGTGCATATGGTTGAATCCAGTGCTATTTAGAAACCAAGTTGAGAGGTACTTGTATCCTACCCTCCTGACTTACAAATGCTGGCTTCTTTTGGTGGAGTATTAGCTTCTGATTGTTACAGTAACAAATTACCACAGCCACAACAACTTAATACATATTTTTTTTCTCACAGTTCTGTAGGTCAGAAGTCTGGCTTAGCTCAGCTGCTGTCTCTGCTTTGGGTGTCAGAAGTCTGAAATCAAGGTGTCACCTGGTTGAGCTCCTCTTAAGGGTCCCTGCACTCATCGAGGTTGTTGGCAGTACTGACTTCCTTGTGGTTGTAGGACTAAGGTCCTTACTCCTTGCTCATCACTTGGGGAGCCAGTCTCTGGTCCTTACATAAGGCCTTTACATCTGAGAGCCAGCATGGTGTGTCAAATGCTTCTCACTATTTGAATCTCCTTCCCATCTGAAGTATTTATTCTGACCTCTTCCTCTGTCACATCTCTCTGATTCTAGTGAGAAAAAGTTGTCTACTTTTAAGGGTGCTTGTGATTAGATTGGACCCACCTGGATAACCCAGAATATATTACTACTTTTAAAAGCCTTAACCTTAATGACATCTGTAAAGTTCTTTTTTTTCTGTGTAATTTCACATATTGACAGGATTCCAGGGATTGGGGTGTGACCATAGTTCTACCCATTACAGTAGCAAGTTTAGGCTATTTGTTTCCTCAGGAAAGAAGGCCAACCAGCAAGTTTGTGCTAAATACTAGGGCCTAGTTGAAATACTTGCCCTAAATTAGAAGGAAAAGAATATGCATCTTATGGAAATAAGTCTAGGTGTCACTTTTGACAAGAGAGGTGGTGTTATCTTTCTTGATTTCTGGGAATGTCTCTAGTCTAATGCGATTCTTAATAGAATTGCTTTGAAGTCAGACCAGACCAGACCAGACCTTGGGTAAGAATATGGTACTTCATTTGTGAAATGAAGTGTAGTGGCTCTGGGGGAAAAACTATGAATCAAGTGCTTTGGACATGGCAAGTGCTCAGTGAATGTTAATTAGTGACCATCACGATGACAATAGGATGGCATATTCATAGTTGGAGAAGGTATAAGTGGTTCAATAATCTGTGGTGGGCTTCCCAATTTATACTCATCTGCTATAAATTAGTTTATTGGTCTGACATAATTGTTCTATTAGAGTAAAAGAATTTTTTTGAAAAGGACTTTATACAAGTTTTTGGTTTTTTGGTGATGCCGGGGCTTGAACTCAGAGCCTTGTGTATGTGTTACATGGCCGGCCCAATATGTGTTTGTTTTGGAGCAGCCTAGATTAAGATGAATTGCTTGGTTTGAATCATAAAAGGCAGTGTCTGAAACTCACAAGCATCTAAGTCAGGGGCTGGCAAGGTGCAGCCTGTGGGCTCAATCTTTCAGGCTGCCTGATTTCATACAGCACAGGAGCCAAGAATGATTTTTAGAGAGAAAAATTTGAAATTGGTCTGATGATAGGAAACACTAACTTGAATCCCAATTAAACAAAACGTTATCCCACCCCAAAAGAATTCCATTCTTTTCATTAATAAGACTGCATTATAAAAATTATACTTTATTATTATATTTTGACTTGTAGCAATAAAAAGTTGTGGAAAGTTTTCTCTTAAATATCTACATGATAGATATTTGCCTCTTTACCCACAAAACCTTTAATGTTTGCACTCTGACTTTTTATAGAAAAACATTTGCCACCTCTTGATCTAAGTAACCTACTGTGCATTTAAGATGAAGGTGTGGCTCATACCTATAATCCCAGCTACTTGAGAGGCAGAGATCAGGAGGATTGCAGTTTGAGGTCAGCTCAGGCAAAAAGTTTGCAAGATCCCATCTCAAATAATAAGCTGGGAAAGATTTTCATGCTTAGGGAAAAATTTTAAAATAAACCAATGAGTACTACTGTTAAATTGGAATATGCTCAAGGCCCATCAATGCCCTTAGTTAAAAAGGCATGGTGGAACACACCTATATTCCCAACTACTCAGGATGCAGAGATCAGGAAGATCGTGTTCAAGACCAGCCTGGGGAAAAAAATTAGTGACACCCCCATCTCAACTAACAAGCCAGGTGTGGTGGTCACAGTGAGGCAGAAGGATTGTAGTCAGAGGCCTGATGCAGGCAAAAAGCATGAGACCCTATTCAAAAAATAATCAAAGCAAAAAAGAACTGGTGGAGTGGCTCAAGTGGTGGAGCATCTGCCTACCAAGCACAAGACACTGACTTCAAACCCCAGTACCATCAAAAAAAAAAAAAAGATGAAGTTGTAGGCCCTTTATAGCTGTATAGGTGAAACCAAACTCCAGAAAGGTTGGTGACTATTCCAACACAACCCAGCTAGTTCAATCAGTAAACTTTCCCCTGGAGCAGGCAGTCTCTGGGTAGCAGGGTTGCACTTTATTAATCTCTCTTTAAATGAATCCCCATGTTAGCTACAATCCAAACCTTTTTCATGGACAGCTTTTCTAGTGATCCAGCAACCCATTGAACAGAGCCTGGCTAACAGTTTATTGCTGTGTTTCCATCTGTGGGAGAGCCATGTCCAATTTAGGATGAGCTTACTCATTGGGCACAGCAGGAACTCTGAGAAAATAATGTCCCCTCACACCAACATCCCCATTGTTTTATGGTATCTGCTAATAAATCCAGCCATATCGTATTTGTCCTTCCTGTCCTCCTACCTGGATAACGATCGTCACCCTGTGGCATTTGTCTCTCTTCCTGCAGATGGTTTACAAGCCCAACAACCGTCAATGCCTTCTACAGTGCATCTACCAACCAGATCCGTGAGTAGCAGCTTTGGGTCTTCTTGTTAATCTGGTACCAAACGGAAGGAACTTTTCCATTGCTCTGATGAGAGGAGAGCATTCCTATTCCCCAACTGACAGGACGTGTTGATGAAAGCAGTTTGCTTGCTTGTCTGTAGGTCCATTTTCCCTCACTCCCTTCAGCTTATTAGTTATTTAAACTTTATGTAACCACTGGGTTTTTTTTTTAATGGAACTGGAGTTTGAACTCAGGGCTGTGGACTTGTTATGCAAGAGCTCTACCACTTGAGCCACACCTCCAGTCCATTTTGCTCTGGTTATATTGGAGATGGAGTCTCAAGAACTATTTGCCCTATCTGGCCTCAAACTATGATCCTCCTGATCTCACCCTCCCAAGTAATTAGGATTACAGGTATGCACCACTGGTGCCAACTCCCATCCTTTGTTGATTGAGGGCTGCTCAACATTAGCTCCTGGCCTTTGGGTATGCCCCGTGCTCTAGCTTAGCCCAAGAATGCCCTTCAGGTGGCTGCTGAAGAAAGTCAATGTTGAGTGAAAGACATGGTGAGAACTAAGGAGTGGGGGGATGGGAGCTCCTAGAGCATCTGCAGTATTCAGTGCCTAGAAAATAATGTGCAATTGATAAATGTCAGCTTAATAACATCAGTGAATGGGTAAAGTTTGCAGGCTTTCTGTTTTGTTTTAGACAATGGTGTGTTTCAGGGACTTCCTACAGAGCAGGTGTGTGGGTTTTTTTTTTTTTTTGTGTGGCACTGGGGTTTGAACTCAGGCCTTTGCACTTGCAAAGCAGGAGCTCAGCCACTTGAACCAGCCTCCCAAGTAGCTAGGATTACAGGCTTGAGCCAGTGGTACCCAGCCTGATTTTTTTTTAAAGAACTACAATAATTAAAATTACAATGTAGTTTGCCGTGACATACTTCCACTTTCCTCACATAATCGTCTTACTGATTTTGTCCATACCATCCCAGGATTGAGGGGAAAAATGGCAGGTAACTGGGCAGATTGCAGCACCTGAGGGGACTATGAGTATGTAAGGAAGAAGCTTGGAACTGTTCTACTTAGCCCTAAGCTGTAAGGTCTTGAGGCTTTTTACTTAAATGTATTGGGTACACATAACTGTAAATGCCATGATAAATCTTAAGAATTATTAAAGATCAGATTGGCACAAATTAAAAGTCTGACAGCATCCAGCATTGGCAATAAAGACCCACACTGCTCCTGAAACGTACTTTGGTTCACCCATTTTGCAAGTCAATTTGAAATATCTAGAAAAACCAGAGGTTCTTGCATCCCTGTTAACTTCATCACCTGACTGTGCCCCAGAGTTATGATTCTCAGAGTGGTCTTTGGATCAACAAGAAAAGCAGCATGGGGGAACTTGTTAGAAGTGCAAGTTCTTGGGCCCCACCTTAGACACAAACTTTGGATGTGGGGTTCAGATAGTTGTTTCAATAAAATCTCCAGATGATTCTGACATATGCTACAGTTTGAGAACAGTTTCCCCAGAGAACTCTCACATAAGTCAAAGTAAAAAGAGGCCCATGTGAGAAAAATAACTTGGGAAAATAATGGAGTATGATACTATAAATAAAGCTAAAGTCATGCAGAACAATTCTATATGTTGTTAAGAAGTATATCCATTTGTAATAAAAGGGTAAAGACATTCCTGAGAGTGACAAACATCTAATTCAGGTTGATAGCAACCCTCAATGGGTTCTCCTCATGGTGACCCAGTCCCAGTGCCTCTTCTGTTCACCTCTGTTCTCCATCCTCGTTCATTCTCCTGGTGATGTCATCTAACCTCGTAATTTCAAATCACCTTTCTACACTGCTGAATGCAGAGGATGGAATTGATAAGATTTGTTCTCTTTGTTCATGTGACCACCATCTCCTACCTGGATTATGATATTCACTGCTTTGTCTTCATCCCCCTTCAGTCTATGCTAAATAGAATGTTTTTAAATATTTATTTTATTTTGAATTAGCATACATTGATAGTTTGAGGGAGTTTCATTGTGATAATTACATATATGCATACAGTGTACTTTGGACAAGTGCACCCCCTCCATTATATTTCCATTCCTCCTCCCTGCTTTTTCAAACAGTGTTTAGTGGGTTTCATTATGCTGTCTTATACACACACACACACACACACACACACACACACAGAGTGTACTTTGATCCTCTTCACCTTTCAGAATCCTTTCCTTTTTCCCTCCTCCACCCTGTTGCTCTTTTATGTTACCTTACATAATAATAATATTCCGTTCATCATCGTCGTCATTGTCATCATCATCATTTTAGGTATAGGGTCCACAAAGGAGTGAGAACATGCAATATTTAGCTTTTTGAACTTGGCTAATCTCACTCAACATGATGATGTCCATTTCTATCTATTTTCTCACAAATGACATAATGTCACTTCTATTCTAAATATAATATTGCAGCCATTTTAAGATGCTTTTTCATTATATCATTGTCACTCCTTTGTTCAAAGCTTTTTATTAGTAACTCACCTTACTCAGCATAAGAGCCAGATTGCTTACAATGGCCTGGAGGCCTGCCACCTCTTTGTCTTTACCTTCTATGGCTCTCCCATCCCTCTCTCTTTTCCAGCCACACTGGTTTCCTTCCTGTTCCTATTGCATGGCCCCTTGGGGCATTCATACTTGGAGTTCTCTTTGTCTTGGAAATCTCCCCAAGTGATGTGCATAGATCATACTCCCACCACCTCCAAGTCTTTACTCAAAAATCACTTTCTCGGTGAGGTATCCTGCGGTTATCAGCCAGTCTGCCCTGGGTCTTCCAAGATGGACCTCTTCTCCAAGGACTCCCTGGCCAGAGAGTGCAGTTGGAGAGCTGTGGCTGCTCACTACGAGTCCCTATTGTGTGGCCACTATTGGAAGTCAAAGTCACTGCAGGACTGGTCTGTGAGAGCAATGAACAGAAGGAAAACAAGCAGATGGTGCTAATTTTTTATTTCTATATTAATTAATATAACCGAATAAGTTGTTAAATATTTTGAATGTCACTCCTCACTGTATAAATATTCATTATCACAAAAATACTCTTGCTTTCTTAAGAAGGTCCTAAGCTCTAAGTTGAGAACCAAACAGCATATGTTACTTGAGAACTTATGTTATTTGAGATATTAATTATAACTAAAATTTATGCTAATTATTTAAATATATTAGAGTTACATTTAGAACATTCTATTGGGCAATAGAATGTTGCTTAGATTGTTCATTTTAAAAGAAAATTTATTATGTGATGTTTGGTACATGCAAAACATATATGCAACATACTGGCTCGTATAAAGTATATAAGAAAACAGAAAATCACTGTGTGTGTATGATGAAGAACCAGAACATTTCCAGAATCTTTACAGCTGTCTGTCTCCTCTCCCTCACCATGGACATAACTACTATGCTGGTTTTTGTGATTATCTTTTTTTGTGTGCGTGGTACTGGGGTTAGAACTCAGGGCTTCATGCTTGCTAGGCAGGCACTGTACCAGTTGAGCCACTTCAGCAGCCTGTGTTTATCTTTTTTAAAATAACATTTTAACCATTTATGTAAGTACCCTTGAATCATACCTTGTTTACTTTTACCTTTTAGCACCGTAATAAAACATACTGCCTCCAATCTTAAGCAACTGCATTTTCTCAATCAACATCATTTTTAAGATTTGTACATATTGCATGTGGCAGTAGGTTGTTTTTTTTCAGTTCACTGCTGTATAGCATTCCACTGTCTGATTTTACCACTGGAGTATTTATTTGTTCTGATGTTGACAGACCTATCTATCCTCCACCTTTCCAGGTATTCTTATGAACAGTGATGCAGCGAATGTTCTGTGCATGTCTCCTGAAACCAGTTAGGGCTTTACACTTCAGAGTGGAATTCCTGGCTAGTAGGGTAGGCAAAAATTCAACTTTACCAGATAATACCAAATGTTTTTCAAAGTGGGCTTTGCAAGCTACAGAAGTATTTCTGTTCTTCATTTTCATCAGCTTTTGGCATTGGTTGACTTAATGGCCGCCAGTCTAGTGAGTGGAATAGGTCAGTTCTTACGCAGAAAAGGCAATAAGATAGTCCCTTTACCAGCGTTGCCACACTTTCAAATGTCACTGAAGGCTTACTGTTCCTTTGGGGATGAAAGTGTGTCTAATACTAGGTCCGCCTCCAGGATTCCCCCCTGCTCTGCTTTTTCTTGCCTGAGAAGAGCTGATCCTATCAGAGTTTACTAAGGAAGAAGTCATTTCAGGATAACTCAGTGGATTCTAGAAGGCTCATGGGCAGAGAGATTTTAAAATGAACAGTCTGAAGCAGTATTTTAATTAAGACATTCAAGCTGCTTCTATTTTCCTAATGACCAGTGCTTGCTCTCATTGTAAATTACATCGCCAGGCAAGATGACAAGGGCTCCTTTGGGTGACTTTTTCCCCCTCTTTCCTTTCTGATTTTCTGGATCACAAATTAAGACAGGTGGAATTTCTTCTTACACATTTCTCCACTGAGTTTCCTGGGACTTCCCCCGCCCCCAAACTGCTTTTTTTTTGCTTCACTGAAGAAGTGAAAAATTGAGGTGATTTTCAAAAATGAACATCTTTATTGAGTAGGGGCTAATTCTGACAGCATGTGGCCATCTGTTTAATTGGGTTCCACATCTACCATGTAACTATACTTAGTAACGTGATTTATGAGAATTTCATTCACTTCCCATTATCACTTTCTGATGCCACATCAGTCTGCTTCTACATGCAGTAGAGACTTGGGTTGGAAACAGAAAAAATTATAGGGTTCCTTTTTTTTTTTTTTTCCAAATCCATGCCTTTGTGTGGAACCCTATGGCTATGGCCCCCTTTCAATGCTCAGTTTGTCTAGGGTGGTGAAATCTTCTTATTTTTCTAAATTTATCAATCTAGTAGCCACATTTTCAGACACAGCATAGTGTGAAGTCTGTGATTTAAATGTGTTGTATGTGGAGTTATACTC